ATGCCTCATTATCACGCGTGAGATGGGGCAGTATATAAAACTGCTTTTCTGATGTGAGGGGCACGTTATACTTCAACGTGATTTCTGTGCGGTTGGTCTCTACGTGACATACTTAGTGGAAACCTCATAGAAAGCGGTGAGTGTGCAAGGCTGTGTTCAAAGTGATTGAAATCTTGGTTTGGGGTTTCTTTGTTTAGTTATGGAGGCGTCTGGTCGAGTGGGTTGCTATCAACTTGACCTTTCCAGGCTCTGAGGAAGGCGAAGTTCGCCGAAACGTCAGCTTAATCGTGAACAAAGAATAGTAACACCTCGCGTTTGCTCAACAAAAATACGCAGAATTTCTTATTGACTTTCAAGTTAGGGTCCTGCTATCTAAAGAACGCTCTAGGAAAAGGAGATGGGAGTAATCTCGCTATTTCTTGACATTCATTTTTATTCGATCTTTCTTTTTTCCCCTTATAGCAGAGTCGATGATGTCTTCGTTGAGGATCGAACACGTTATTACCTTTTCTAAGTACTAACGCGTTTACCACCACACCGTGTGGGTCGTTCGTTTCTCCTGTCTTTCAACTCGTTCTTGACACTGATGAAGTATCAGCCGATGTCTCTGCTGCATAATAGGGAGGACTGCTGAATAAGAAAACTAGGCGCGGATTTTTGGGTTCCTTGGTTAGTCGGTGGCTTCTATGAGAGGCCTGAAAGCCTCAAGCTGCACACCTTCGTATGTCTGATTTCTCCTTTATGTTTTCTGATTTCTCCACGTTCATTGGGTAGCCAAGGCACATGTACGAGGTGGTCTTTCTGTAATCAGTGAACCACCCAGTTCTTGGAGAGGATGATCGTGTACGACGTCCTCCGCTGTTTTGAGATTATTCCTTTTTAAAAGGTAGAGCGTCCCATGGGTTGCAAGATGCACATGCAATTCGTAGCTTTCAGCTGTAAAAAGTCGGCGGTGACACTATATGGTCTTAGAGCTGTGCCTTTTTTCGTGTCTTGTATAGTGACTTGAATCTTTGAGGTAAAATTTCTCGGTAGTTTTTTGTTCAAGCGAGGATTTCACGGTTTTAGATGAAGAATGTGGAACAGAAAAGGTTGGTGTAGAACTTTCCCGTTATCACTTCCATGTCATATAGAGAAGATGATCTCATTTTCGTTCATTAGGTCTGACTGTCGGACATTATACGGCAACGTTTTTCCTGACGTTCTTTTTTTGCTGTTTCTAATAGTTTCTTCAGCCTGTGGCAATGTAGATCTTTCAGCAAAGCTCTTGCACAATTAAAATTTGTTACTAGTCGTGTTAAATGTGTTGCAGTAGGATCAGGCTTTAGTTTCCTTCCCTTCTCGAGCAACTCCTCAGCGGCAGTGAAGATGTGACGGCAATGTGGTTTGACATTCTCGTATGAGGAGCGGAGACTAATATGGCACAACTTTCAAGGCCTTCAACTAGCCGCTCGCAATCTTTAGTCGAGTCTTCCTTAATCTGCCAGTCAGGTACAGAATGTCTTTATCATATACATCTGGACCTTTTCTTTTTGGTCAATGACTTGAAATCTCTTCCAATTTAGGGCTGAATCGAATCTTCGCGCGGAGAAGGGGTATCGACCCCTGTAGGGGATGATGATATTACCGGTGTTTCAAACAGCCACAATGTCCGGTTTTGTGAGAATATGGTCGGTCTTTCCATGAGTCATTTTGTTAGGAACCTCCCATATCTAGGGGCGGTTTTCTTTCTCTGTAAAAATGAGTTTCCATGGAAGAGACATACCGCAGGCGGGATTCCTGCAAGACGGTTTCCATTCTCATTTCATTCTCCTAATCCAAATCTTCTGATCATCTATTCGATTTTGTTCGCTTTCCCATTTTGGGGTCGAAGTCCTCGATGACAAATTCAGAGTACAATTTATCATTGCGGATTACTTGCTCCAACTGATAGTACCTCCCAACGGTTCACCGCCTTATCGTGGCTGGGAGGTATTCCTGGGTATCGGACTGCGATGTACAGCGGGGATCCATTCCCTGGCAGGGTCTCCCAAGCTGAGAAGGAGTACGGCGTTTCAATAAGGAGGCTCAGTTAAGAGTAAAGCAATACAAGGATTCGCCAGCGTTCTGGTATGAAACTAGTCGTGGCAAATCTCCCTCTGATCCCCAAGGGCTACGACTGCTTGTGGTGGTAAAGACCTGAGGCAGACTTTGGCCAGGTTGATCTCGGGATTCCAGGAAGCCATGATAGCTTAATCAGCAAACCTCTGAAAATGGAGATTATGGTTGGGTCCGCACAACCAGTGAGGACGGTCCATTCAAGTATCAAATATCAAGTAAGTAGCTGTTAGTAGAACGCATCTAATTCGTACTCTTCGGCTACATCGGTAGGTGAGTAGCAATTGATGACAGTGATCTTTTCATGACGCATTAATTAAAGACGGAAGACGAAGGAGAGGATTTCGCACGAGTCAGAGAAGAGGACACAATGGACGGATGGACGACGAAGCCTACGCCGCCGACATTTCGTGACAACAGTTTCTCTTTATGGATAAAAAGGACCCCTTTGCTTAGCTGGCTTATCGGCCTTCTTGATTTTTATTTTTTGTAAGGCGATCACGGGGAATTTTATGCGATCTCAGGCTACAAGAAGAACGTGAAGTTCGGCATCTGAGGAAACCTTCTGGTATCATACTTAAAAGAGTGGAAAAGAATCTCTATGGCGTGTAGAGTGTCTGTTCGTAAGATCTGGTTTCAGTGACGTCCTTCGTAACTCGAGATTTTTGGCTTCTAACCAAGAAGCTGGCATCATAGACGGAAATACTCAAGGTGCAGGGTGCTGAAGATGGTTTGTCGCTGTTTGGGCAAATTGATCTCCTTTAGATTCCTTGCTTAACTTTGCAAGAGCGTTCTCAGATCTGCATCACAATGTGTGTTTGTGGGAGGTGTCCTTTCGGCAACGATTCCTTTGTTCGATTTTCATACTAAAAAGAACCTTTTTTCAAATGTACTTGACCACGCCACAAGTGCTGTTAAGAAATTGAAAGTGTCGAGCTTATCAGCTACTGAGTATTACACTGTTATCAAAAGTTTATTGCACGTTCACAGACGAGATTTAGTTTCTTTTTTTGGTGTTACCGTTCATATGGGCTACGTACTTCTTTCCCCCTTTACTGTAGTAGCTGATATTGTAGAATCTGCAATGAATCACTGATAAATGCGCCGGAAAATTGGCAAATCGGAGAAATGTTGCTGACAACAACCGACCTTATCCACAACGCGAAGTAAGTGATGAGCATGAACATGCCGATGAACCATCCTCTGAACGTCACAGGATAGGGGCCGGTAGTACTGATCGCCAGGATTCCAACGTGTAGCTGAGCCGCCATCGCAATGGCAAACTAAAAACCATAAATGAATCAAGAACATTGGTCGTTTAGTGAATGGCTGACGATTCGCTTGAAGAAACCTATCACACGATTTTTCACCGGTTGCTGCTTCTAATGAGCAATATTGGTTGTCGAGTAACGAGATGTTCTAATTGAAATATAAAGGATAAGGGATTAAGCTCTTGGCGTTGATCAATCCCTGAGAGGTGCGCCGTGCATTCGATTTCATTAAGTTCATTAAGCATCGTTTGGAGGAATTTTTTTTTTCTTGGGGGGGGGGGGGGGGATTCAATGCATATCTGGGCTTTACAATGACTTGTGGTGGCCTACCGACGTATCGAGCCAGTGCCGCTATCCTCCCAGACTAGTCTGATACCAATTTGCCGAGCCCGGAAGGATGGAAGGCATGGTGGGCTATGGGCGCTAGGATCGACTCCACGTGTGTGTTGCAGGGTGCCTCCGACCACTGCGCCACGTGCGCTGTTCAGTTTAAATATATCTACACAAACCTTTCAATATGAAGAGGTTTATTTACTATTAGTGAGGATCCTTCATACTGAATTAAGCATTGGTCTGATAAACAACAAGGACGATTCAACTGTTTCGACTTCTTTTTAAGACGAAATTAATCACTTCACTTCCCATTCCTTTTAACGTTTACGCAAAGAAAGCTACATTCAGATCACATTGCACTCTTGCGTTGAATTCATGAATAGCTGCTGTAGTCCTTGTTTCCGTTCTTTTCAACATTATCAGAAAATGCTTAGATAAACATCAAGAGTACAAGTTAATCGATTAACCTGGACCATTTGCAACGTTGTGATTGTCTGTGCGACTTGTGGTGGAACGTTCACTTTTAGAGACCGCAAAAAGTAGTAGCTGTAAACGAAATGCCTTTGAGTATCTCTGCATTCACATTGTTAACTTTTTTTTGCTGCCTGTAATAATTTTTTATGACAGAGCATAATGCGAAATACAACCACAAGGAAGCTGAGATATTTGCAAAACATCGGACAACAGGTGTCTGCGGTGGGCAACAAACGCGCCATTACCAATTCCGGGGGCTAACGCGTTCATCACTGCACCATGCGAGTCCTTCATTTCGCTTGTCTCTCAGCTAAACATTTAAACTGCAGCCTCAGCTTAACTGGGTTCAATGCCGATGTGTGCTTCCCAGATCAATCTCGTTGACGGGTGAGTACTAATGGCACTGATCGATAGAAAACTAACTAGCCCAGAAACAGGCTAAACGAAGGAACCAAATGGTGTGGTGGTGAACGTGTCAGCCCACGGAAAGGCTAATGAGGCGTTCGTTCCCCACCGCAAATTACGATCCGGAGTTTTGCCAATATCTTAGCGCCATTGTGGTTGTATCTCTGAATTGTTACACACAATTGCAAATGAATTTACATTCGTCATTTACTAGGAAGGTGTTACGTGGAAACAAAGTGGTAGATTCTTTTAAAAATCGCATTTTTCACTGGAAAAAGAACTCTTGTGACCTAATCCTTGGCAGTTTAAATGCGGCCGACTGCAAACGAAAAGCTAACGTGCCCGCATTACGCGTTGTCCACATTTAGTATGTTCTCTTTCAACACTGAAGACACAGAACTATTGGACAGAGCGGATAACTCACCCGTACATCGCAGCGTGAATACCATAGTTCGTCCACACCAGCCAGAACATGTGTGCGTTTTCCTCTGAATAGTTGACGATCGCATAGTAGCCGGTTAAGGCATGATGGTACCTGTAAATATTTTCAATCTCAGAGCTGACGCACCCTGATGGCTTCGTAAATTCCTCGAAATTCCATTAATTGGGAAGGAAGGTGGCTCTGATCCTACAGGTTGATGATTGGACATCGATCTACATTGTCGCTGTCTATGAATTCTCAATTTGCAGACATCGGAAAGAACAAAGTTGGATGAATGTTTTAGTTTAATTTGTGATAGACTTATGATTACTGTCACTGTAGCCACGATACTACACGCATTATATATTGTATTGACGAAGCGAGAGGATATTTTTGGGAGTGGGACTTTTAAGTACGGAAAACAGTTATTATTTATTTTCCAGGCGGGGTCATCCAATATGAGGACAGCATCTCTATAAGAATCTCCGATCAAGAATATACATCGATTGTTACTTTCCTGGCAACGGGTAGCAAGGTAGCAGGCCTTAAACGCTTTCGCATGACAATTTCAGATCACCGTAAAAAAATTTGCTGGAGTAGCTTTACAACAGAGGTGAAAGTTTAATTGTACAAAAATCTTAGCACGTGGAGCTTCACTCGGTTCTTATCTGTGTCGGATGCATGAAGTAGCAAAACCCATAAGAACTTTAGGATAAATGTCTCAGAGAAGGACAATCTGAGGAACCGTTGTAGGAATGACTGCGATGATCTGTTCATTGTTTGTGTTTGAGGAGTTCATCACAATAATCACCTTCTTACACAAGAGAAGTTTTTTTTGGAAGGCCAACTTCAAAAGTAAAGTGAATTTGGTTGGAATTTTGTGCTATAGATAACATTCAATTTCTGCAAGAGGTTCGTAAGGAGCTAGAACTTTTTTGATCCTGTTGGTTATCCACGACGAAAAATGCCTTGACTTCGTTATCATAAGATGAACAGCTAAAAAGGAGGACGAATAATAAAAAAGAGTCCATAAAAAACGTCCGATGTGGTAGAAAGCGTATGGAGATCGACGGTTCACTGATTATGCAGGCTACACTTCACTTTTGGACTTATTTGTTCTCTTAATTTTTAGCTATACAACAGGAAGCAAGCTGACATGTCAGCGACGTCGCGTATTCTTTGTAAAATCATGAGCTCTAACCCAGTGACCTTTAGCATACAACTGAGATACAACAATACCAGTATCGTAGCTAGGATAAACACCAATATCCCGTTTTTGAGGACCGAACGAGTTACAACCTGAAGAAACCCATAAATTATTCGGTCATGTAGTGAAAGCAGCAGATGTGCCAAAACAGTGTGGAGTAGAAATTAAATGCGTGAAGCTTATCGAAATCGCGCTCACATACAAGTCAGCACATTTATTATTTATTTACAACAAGAAGTACTCATGGCTGAGCACAGCAAGCGACAAGTTGAAAGGTTGCGCAGGTGTGGTTTCCACTGACACAGCACGAAAAAGGGTTCTTGTGGAATAATGTGGCATAGATTCAACGATTTGCTACAGTTGCGATTTTAAGACAGACAACGAGTTGTAACTTCTAAATGTTTTGCGAAGTATAGGGCGAAATCGGCATGAAAGGATATGCTCTTTAGAAAGTTATGAAGGCATAAAAACCTAGGAAAACTTCGGACAGCCTTCTAATCACGTGTATAGCGCAGTGGCAGGGGTGCCTTTGATTACGCGGATGGTTCAATCCAAAAAGGAGGTGGATTGGCTTTGCCCGGAATCCTTTAACCCACTCCTTACTCTGGCGTTGGGAAACAGCTGGCAGAGTTGCATGGAACGACCTCACTCCATCTGGTCCTTCTGTGAACATCCTAATACAGTTACCCCAGGAGTCCAAAGAGAATCGAATCGACCAGCTTTCAACGATATTCATGACGAAGACGAAAACCATCAAGCAGCAGTCGGACACCCGCAACTTCATGAACCCTCATAGATAGTGTATGAGAGGAAATGAATAGAATGCAACAAATGCTGAGATCTGCATAATAGGTGAATTCGGCTCACGTAAAAAAGTAGTTTATCAACAAATCAGGTAAAGGCAGGTGGAGAGTTTCGTTCAGTCTAGGGTTTTAAGGGAACAGATATGGAAAGGAAAGAGAACTGAACTTTACCAGTGCATAAACATAAGCGGTCGCTTTCGAAGGACGATGAAGTACGTGTCAACAAGCTCGGGAATTTTCGACAATACCCACAGAAAAATCCAGTAACCACATGTTTTGTCCGTGTACACTTCCGAAATAGTCGTATGGATCTCTAAAATCGACTGATTCACTCTGATAAAAAGACCATCGAAAACTTTTCTAGTTTTAGTTCTTTATCACGGTCAGTCTTTCATCAGGTTTTTTGCCACAGCTGTCTCCATATCAGCTGGTAAGAACGGTGGCAGATACTCACGTGAAATTCCTTTGCTATAAGCGACGTTAAGAAATGTCGTAAAAGTGTAGAAAAATCCAAGACCAGAGAACACCGACAGAATAGCATTCCAAATGTTGAGCGGCAGTTGCAGGCCGTAAGCTTTTCGATCCTTCATGTAGAATTTCATAGAGAAAATGCTCACAACGTAGACGATCGCTAATTTCACCGAAAAACCCTCCATCGAGGCGCAGTAGGCCTTCGCTTGTTCGTAGTCGAATTCGCCGCCAAAAACCATTTGCATGATCATCTCTGAAACAAAAGCTTCCGAAAAAATTCTGATATCCCTGGAAGCATTACTAAGCTATTGGGATGGTGAGAGAACCTGTTTGGTTGGAACGTGACATGAACAATGACCGACGGAACTACGCATAGCTGCAAGTGTCTAACTGAGATTATTGGAAGGGAATTACAGAAATATGCTGAAAAGTGACAAGTTGCAAGTCATTCAGCGAATGGTTATATAAAAGATTTTAATGTTGATGAATATTTGCCATTCAGCAACTGACTCTGCTCAATTTTCTAGGAGGTGCTAGATTAAGTTGGCATGATATTGTGGAAGCGTTGGCATTCAAATGGTCCCATGCCTAGGACACAGTGACACTTTTTCGTACTAAGCTGCCCTTTCTCAGGACAGTGGAAAACTTACCATGCACAGTATTTGGCATTCGAATCCGATGTGAGTTCAGTTCCACTTACAGCTTGGAAAAATAGCGACCACTTCCAAATTTAAACCAACACGGCTCAGCTCTAGTGAATTTTACTAATGGGAGATGAATCCATTAGAATTTAATGTTAGCCAACAACATGCAAGCCTTCTTATTTCTACCAAGACGAAGTCGTGATTTCATGGAAGCTAGAATAAGAGCTTTGTCAGCTTTTTCTCGCCGGGGCTAGAATTTTTCACGTTTTTTGCTTTTTTTTCCATCTTTCGCGATTTTCCGACCCGCGGCCGGAAAACTCGTCCGCGATGCAATAGACATTTGGTAGTAGTGGCACCCGGCTGGAAATAGCGTCGTCGCGGCGACTGGAGCGGAACCCACACTCCCAGCTCCACTCCCCATTAAAATAGGGGCTAGAATTTCAATACTGAAACCCCGTTAAAAAGGAAGTATTTTGCCCATTAGAACACGTTGATGTCAGCAAATACGTCGTTCATGTATTGGCTCCTGAGATTCTATCTGAAACTTCAAAAGTCTACACACTGTTTCTATTTCTTTTTAAAAATTTAGTTCTAAAGTTTGAAAATTAGGTAGCAGTTTAAAAAACCGCAATTGCATTATAGCCATAGAAAATTATCAGCTGTCTACGAAAACCGAGTTTCTGACTCTAAATGTTAAGCCATCCCATAACACAGCAGTAATTGAAAAAACAGCTTTAAGTCGACGGAACTATCTCACCTGTGTACTTCTTTCAAAATTTGTTATGAAGCCCAGAACTGAGTTACCGTTTCCTTAACTTTTCTATTTCCTGGATAGTTTAGCCCTAACATTTTGTTTTCCTTTTTCCCCGAATCATCAAAGTGAATTCAAACAAAACGTTTGGCCTTAAATGAAATACTAGATTACTTAAAATTTGAGTGATGTCATCAGTGTGCTAAACGTTTTCCGGTAGCGAGATTGTGACTAAGTATCAAAATCAAAGGACGACAGAATTTCAATCGAGCAAGGGAAATCGAGCCCGGCAGACAATGAGCTAAATTTCACATAGAGTGAGATTGCCCCACCATAGTTTCTGTAACCAACATAGAATGTTCGATCGGAAAATCAGCAGTAGTCCCCTTAACGTCATTGTCATCACGTCATTGAATAGTTCAACCAACTCAATAGCGCAGGACCTGTCATGGGCTTTTCATGTAACAGGTGAAATGCCATGGTCGGTGTAGATAAGTGGGAATTGGCTGTTTAATTGACCATTACGTCTATGTTCTGTTGAGTTTAATATCAGTAGTGGCAGTTTTAAATACAATAATTTCGTATAAGCTTCTAAATTGAAGAAGTGAAATTCTAGCATAACGCGAAATGTACGGTAACAGGAAGAAAACGGAAAAAAGTTTGCCCGAGAAGCGCATTTAAGTGCGTTATCAGTGATTATCTAACAGCTAAAATACTGTCTGTCGACACCCAATCACACCATCTCGGAACATCGACGTGCAAGCAGCACAGATAAGGCATTCATCTGACTTGACGGGTGCATTTCCTGTCACCACAAGCAATGAGATTTTTTACTCTGATCACTTGGTATACTAAAGAAACATCGCGCTAAATAGGATCCCTCGATTTCGAGATAAAAATGAATTCGTACTACCGCGGTGTCACAGAGTGCAAGCCACTTGCTTGGGAACAATTACTGCCATGTGGAGATTGAAAAAATATGCAGAAAAAGCATATGGTTCCCCATGTGTTGGTGAGACTACTGAAGATTGAGGTCTAATACGTTAAGAACGGTAAAATTTTTCATCAATAAAGGTCGTTCTTCTCTATAAAATATCTATCACACAGGTCGATAACATGGCTGAGAGACAGACGAAACGAAGGACTTGCACGGTGTGGTGGTGAACGCGTTAGCCTTCGGAAAGGGTAATAGCGTGTTCGGTTCCCACCGTAGACATCAGCGCTCCGGAGATTTGCAAATATCTCAGCAACATTATGATTATGCATTACATAGTGAGTTTCTAGAGCAAAAACTTGTGTGAATCATATGAGCTCGTGCACAATCTCCATTGCAATGGTGTGGTGTTTGCTTTGCGAGCCCTCTTTCCTGGAATCTTTAAATGACCGTACCAAAGTCTTGATAGTTTTCGAGGCAGGTATACTGCTGCTCATACGATGCAAAGGCAAGTTTATTGCCATACGGCTGCGCTTCATTTTTTTAAGACGGGCATGATTCCTTGATTAAATTCATTTATAATTCAGTCTGAGATTTCAGTCGATCGCAGACTGAGAAACACTTCTGAGAGATGATCTTACTGCTACACATTGTAATTTGGCACCCAAAATGAACTTTGGCCGCTTTGTATTCACTTTCCAAAAACTATTTTGAAAAAGAACATATTTCAACTTCCCTGGGAAAATCCTGTGGTGAGATCCATTATGGATAGACTGGCTATATCTTACTCAATGCCCACTTGCCGTGGATGAACATAAAGTGCCCAGGACTGTGATATGATTATCAGACATCTTGCGAAGCAATGGAAATGCTTCTAAAGAAACATCACAATTTCCACAGGATCAAAATCTCAAATTCAGCAACAAGACATGCATATGTATTCTTTCTTTGATGAGCTTACACGAGGTTGATAATTATATTTATTTTCGGGTAGCGTTTTGACGTCTCCGTCTTCCTCAGAGCCGATGATCCGAGTCGATGGTCTGGTGATAGTGTGATAGTAACTTGTTTTTCCCGGACAGTGAAACCTGAAGAAGTCGGTGTTATTATCAGCTAGCATAAAGCGTAGTAATATTTCGAAACCGACTGTCCTTGAACCTCGGTGTGGCTAATCAATATGCATTTCTTCTTAGATGAAGGCTGACAGAGCTGAAGATCTTTGACTCGACACGAAAGCGAAGCTACCACGTATAGACGAATAACAAGAGTGGACCATCGATTCGGATCATCGGCTCTGAGGAAGACGAAGACGTCGAAACGTTAGCCGAAAATGAATATAATTATCAATTATAATGCTGAGATTTTTACAAAACTCCGGACCGCATGTGTCTGCGGTGGGGACGAACGAGCTATTGCCCTTTCCAGGGAGTAACACGTTCACCACCACCAAGCATGTCCCTCGTTTCGCCTGTCTCTCAGCTAGTTCTATCGATCTTTTGATGGCAAACGCGTTACTCTCAAGAAGGGACAATAGCGCGTTCGTTCCCCACCGCAGACATCTGCGGTCCGGAGTTTTGCAAATATCTCAGCATTATAACAGTTATATTTCGCAAAATACCCTGCGGTTAAAAAGAATAGGTAGTAAATAAAAAGGTTAAGATAATTATCAACCTCGTGTAAGCTCATCAAAGAAAGAATACATATTGCTTAGTCACACCGACGTTCAAGGAAAGTTGGTTTCGAAATCGGACATGCATAATTGTGCACAAGGCCCAAGTTTTGCGAATAACTCAGCATCGTTGTGGTTGTTCTTTGCATCATACTCTGCAGTGAAAAATTATAATAGGCAGCAAATAGAAAGTTACCACTGTGAGTTCAACTACTGCCTCAGCCTAACTGGATTCAATGCCGATTTTGGCCCCGCAGATCAATCCCTTGACGAGTTATTGTTGATGGCATTGATCGGTAGAACTAGCTGCGAGACAGATGAAGCGAAGGACCAATATGGTGTGGTGGTGAATGCGTTAGCCGGAAAGGGCAGTAGTGCGTTCGTTCCCACTGCAGACACCTGCGTTCTGGAGATTTGCAAATGTCTCAGCATCATTGTGGTTGTAGTCCACTATTAGTAATATTTACTACCGCACTCTTCGGCTACTATCAGTGCTAACTGCTACTGTTATATTGCTACCACCATTGTTATTTTTTTTATATGACCCGTCTTCACGTTTATTGTGCGGATCCCAGCACTTCTCACATTCGATTCGCTTCCTTGCATCCATTGTCCACGAAGTTTTTTCAACTTTACGTATGGCTTCAAATGCTGATTGAGGATTTTCATTTCTTCTTGAATGTCGTAGAATGCTGGTCAAGCATGTAGCTTTCCCAACAGGATTGCAGACAGTGATTTTTTCTTAGACAAGTACGGTACCAATCTCCCGACTCCAGGGGATGACAGGCTTGGTCGGCCCGGAGCGGAATCGAACCAGCACCACGCTCGTGACAGCGGATATCACTACCACTGTGCTATCTGCCCCGATACCATCTGATAATAGTGCTGCTATTATTGATATTGATAACAATGGTTTTTCGTTGACCACAAACCATTCTTATTAATATCAGTAATAGCAGTACTATTATCAGATGCTGTAGTACTGGTAGGAGTAAGAAGTAAAGCAAGTAATGATACCATAATACTTAGTGACAGTTCGGGGATGAAAGACATTGATTGCAACCCAACCGATCACCGGAATGCAGATTCTATGAATTGCTTTTATTCTACGGATCACATGTCTGCTCACTGTTCTGGATTTTAGCGCCTAGAAAAGGTACGACGGTGTCCAAATGGCCGGCGACCTGATGACACACAAGTGCACCGTAAAGATACGGATGCCCAATCGCGATGGAATGGTTTCCACAAAGAAA